GGACGCTGCTTGGCCTGCTGTGTTCATCCAGCTCTACACCTTGTTATCTCAGATTCTCCAGCATCTGCAGTTCCTACTATCTCTGATATCATTTAAACTGTCTCTTCCAATAATTTTCCAGTAACTTAAAAACAAAGCATACTGTCACATTAAGGGAAATTAATGCAATTCAGTCTAACAATACATAAAACCTATTGATATTCTTGTACCGAAGAATATTGCTGATAATAATACTGGCCACAAAAGCCCTATTTTTGTACTTCACAGTGAATCCAATTGCAGCTTAAGTTTCCGTTCCTTCTCTTGTTCCATAAAAATAAAAGAGATACTCAATACTATTGTCAGCTAAGTTCTCAAACCATACCAATGCTTGGAACTGTTAATGCGGGCTTTGAAGGAATAAAAGATTTGACTCTAGGTTCATATTTGACATGTTGACACAGCCTTTCCTCATTCTTGACATGTATGTTTAACCACTTCCTGGGTCGTACAGGGTGTACTGGAAGGAACTGAAAGCATGATTTAAGAAACTTTCTAAACAAATAAGCCAACTTCCCTATTACCACTAAGCTGCAAGTACAACCATCAACCTACCACTTCCTTATTAAGATGCAAGTGATTATAGCTTTGTGTTGAAATTTATGTCAATGGTTCACCAAACAAGATCTTTGCCTCTACATGCCTGTTACTTTGCCTGCAAAAGGCTGTGAATATTTAAATCTAAGCTGTTGATAGATCAAGTACTTTGAGAATGCACAGAATGACTGAGTAAGATGTAATGAATGCAAGGACTTTTTTAAACATATGACATTTTGAAAACTCCTAAGTGCTACTGATGTAAATGACACATATGGATCGGATGCACAAGTGGGAAATGAAAACTCCAATTAGCAATTCACCAGTCTGTTCTTTATAGCTCTAGTCATTGTACAATATCAAGAATTATTGCCAGTTCATGATGCAAAGATAATGGTTATTCAAATGTAGGAGTCTGAGAAAAACTAAGGGTTCACAAATTAAAAGATATGTATATTTTTGATCATTAAAGGTAAAAACTCCACACCAGACAAAGTAAGCAACTTAACATTAATTGCTGCTTCTTTAAAGTTTGATATATCAAAGATAATTTTCACTTAAGTTATCCATAATCACGATATTCAGAAGAATAATCAAAGACAGTAGACGATAAAACTGATTTCAGGACACCAAATGACGTAAATGTTGATCTACCAATAAGTGTCAAGCTGGAGACCGGAATAATGAAGATATGATTCCCACTGTGTACTGTGAAGGTATTATCTGGCCATACAGTAAGGTTTTAAAAACAAAACAATATGCATTTACTGTGCCATGATACGAGGAAGGAGTTTGAACACACAACAGATTATTATATCCTATTGTAAAATTCTTGGCCTGATCTCAATTAATCCTTTCTTAAACAAAAACTTCAAACTTTTGGTTTAAATTGATTTATTCATTGTCAAAATTTAGATAGAATAGCATGAATATCTAAACATGGGACCCTTTTTGGAACTAGCCATTTAGATTTTGCCATTCCGAACAAATAATTCCCAGTGTGAACATCCAATAAACGAGATGGCTTAACATGTTTTTAATCTAGCACAGAGGATGTTGAATTATGCTTAAAAATACTACTTACGAAATATTGCCAATGACTGGTTACTAAATATGGATATAAAAACACAGGCATAACAGGGATCAAATCATGTAGCTAAATTATCAGGTTAGAGTTTCAACAACTCTTTTCTGTTGATCTATGGCTAATTTATGCCAGTTTCTCCAAGGAATGCATTGGAAGATACTCTTTCCTCCAAGTAAATAGAAACGTGAGGTGATAGGTATTGACATAACTGTGGTAACTTGACCACCACACAACTTGCTCACAAAAGAATGCCAACTTGATAATGGTAATAGAAAGCCTTTATTTCTAATGAAACCACATGAGCTGCTCAGGATTCAGGCATCCCCGGTAAGGCTGACGCTTATTACCGATCCTTAGCTGCCAGGGCTTGGGACAGGGATGTTGGTGCGACACATCAGGGCCAATTGTGCTTGGGTCAGGAGCAAGGGGGTTTGGTCAGGGCCAGCACTGGAGCCTGAAATTTCTGTTTTTGCCCATGTTACTTGCCTTTTTACAACAGTACTTCCGAAATTTATTCCACTGTTTCCCCAGGCTGATAACAGCAGGGTGGCAGGAGAGACCTTCGATAGAGCATGTCTTAAAGGGGTCACACAAGTGTTAGCATTCACATTAGCCACTGCTGCCTCAGAGCTCACAACACCAAAATTTCAAGTGGCCTACCAAATGGGGTCTCTAACCCACAGTTTTGGTCCTGCTGTACAACCAGTGACTCTCCAAGCTATTTCCAAGGGTAGTTAGAGCAAATGATGTAGTCGTGGGACTGCTATCAAGTATCAGTTGGACCGGGTAATTGGTTTCCTACTCTAAAAGAACAGGCGGCTCAGTGATTAGCACTGCTGCATTAGTGCCAGGGACTGGGTTCGATTCCAGCCTTGGGTGACAGTCTGTGTGGTGTGTGTACATTCTCCCTATGTCCGCGTGGGTTTCTGCCAGGTGCTCTGGTTTCCTCCCAGTTCAAAGATGTGCAGGTTAGGTGGACTGGCCATGCTAAATTGCTCCGCGGTGTCCAGGGATATGCAGGCTACGTGGGTTGGCCACAGTAAATACCAGGGTCACAGGGATAGGACAGGATGCTCTTTGTAGAGTCGATGCTGATTTGATGGGCTGAATGGCCTCTCCCCACACTACAGGGATTCAATGACAGTGGATCGTTTGACTTTTAATGAAAAGCTAACAGATTCATGGGTGCTTTTATTGACACCAGCTCCTTGTCTCTAGCTTGTTTTGCTGCATGAAATGTCAAAAAATTTGTTTAAAAACCATCATTACAAAAATTCTCGATCTTGTATCAAGTTTAGCAAATATAGCACACTCCGTTTAGTGGTTTATACTGATCTTACCTGTGATGTTGACATTCGTGATGCGTCTTGACGTCCAGTTAAATCTGTTGAGGAAACATTAACAGGAGCGCCACGATGTAACCTCATGCTCACTTTTCGCTCCCGTTCCATGCCAGAGACAGGGCGTGGAGATGTGTTAGCTGAAGAATAAAGGTCCAAGTTGGTTAAAACCATCCCATTTCACAATAATGCAAAGAAAATCCAGTGAATGAACTGAATATTTATTTATTTAATGGTGAGTTAAAAGACGATTGACATTTGAAGCTAAGTTTACTCAATGGAAGCATTTATGATAAGCAGGGCTGTTTACAGGTAAGCAGAACGCTATCCTTTGAAAACTAATTCTCAGCCTGCTGTCCAGTTGTGGATTAAACCACATTCATAGCCCTTCTGAAACTCTCTCATGTGTACCATGTTTTTCACAAAATAAAAGTTAAACTTTCACATTGCTCCAATGAAAATATTCAAGGCTTTACCATAGTTACCTCTTAATTGTGCGACTTCGTTCTTTGGTCCCAGCGTCTCTTGGCGGGAGAAGGTCAGCAGATCTGGGGTCCTGCTGTGTGCTAATTCTAACAGCATACACTCATTGATAAGCCAGAAACATTTGCACCCGCTCATCCACATTCAATGGTTGGATGACGGCCGGATACCCAGAGACCTTCTGCGAGACAAATTGGCCACTAGGTCACAAACTCCTGGGCATCCATATTTCCACTACAAAGACACCTGCAAGCAGGATATCAAAATGGCAGATATCGTCTCCTACTCATTGGTGTCAATCGTTGACAGCTGTAAATTCTGGAAGCTATTTAGAAGGTCATTAGAAATGACGAGCAGAAAAGAAAAGCTGATATGATCAAGAAGAGAGCTCAGAGAAAATGGAGGTTAACAAACCATGCACCTTTTCAGCTCTTTATCCCTTCTGCAGAAAATGTAGCAGGGATTGCCACATCAGTCGAGATTTAACACAGACTTGACTGTGACCACTACCAATTACCGCTAAACAAACTTCCAGGTCCTGTAAAACCACTGCTACAAGCACAGAATCCAACTTGCTCAGATTGGGCATGTGGATCCATTGCTTATTTCCAAGATCTAGGAACTAGTTTAGTGTGAGAGTAAAATTTTGCATCTAGTTCAATTCATAAACATTTCCTTTATAAATTTATTCATATCATAGCACAAATTCCTTATGTAAACCTGCAATTAAAATATTCCTGACGTATGCAAGATACAACTAATCAGATGCAAACACATAGTATTTCCTAGTACAAGGGGCCTTTGGCAACATGGTGCGGGGGGGAGGGGGGCGCGGTGGAGTGTGGTGGTGGTGGCAGGGGAAACTCAAGTGAGCAGGGATTAATAGTTTTGGCTTTAACACAAATGAAATGGAGTCTAGAAGATTGACAATTGTAGTAACTTACTCAACATTGACAGCATTAACATCCTGTTGTCTGACATTACCAAGAACAAGAAATCTATAGTCTGATGGTCTGTGGAACACTGAACTAGACTTGGCATAACTGGGAATTCACCTCATCTGAAGTGGATTCCATAAGTCAGCAGTGAAGGGGAGACAGGACCAGACTAGCTAAGGACACAGGATTCCTACATGGCAGTATTACCGTGCTGCTTCCCAAGGCATCTATGCTAGCACATAAATTTTGTTCTTCTGCAAATCACTTTTGAATATGCATTTTCATCTTACTCATGCTTAGAGGAAAATATTAACATATTAATTCAGATCAACAAAACATGGGCGTTTATTTCAGATTTCAAAATAGAAGCTGAATGTCTCAGTTAACATTGAGAATATTTAAGTACTTTAGTTATATAAAATAGTGATAATCAGATTATTGTAACTATTAAAACAGAAGATATAAATAAGCAAAACAGCTAGAGACTGCTTGTAAAGAACAAACTTGCACTTCATTTGAAATAGTGCCTAACATCAGTTTGCCACAAGTACTTTAAGGTCAGTAACAGACCTTGGTTTCTGCTACATTTTTCTGGAGTACTATTTTCGTCTATCATCTCACTAAGAGGCTTCTAGACAATTTTTGCCATTGTCTTGCATCTATCGCTGTTCCTCAGCACACATATGCTGAATTTATGATTCTAACTCGCTTGCTTTAATTCTCAGGATGATAGCAATTCAAGTTTGAATAACTGCACCGAAAGCAAACATGAAAGACTGACAAGCTTTAACTTATTTTAAAATAAATAAAAATTCAGCAGGACACAGACTACAAATGTATCATGACCCAGATATTGACATTGGTGAAATAAATTCAACGTATTATTTTACCAGTGTGGGATGTGGGTGTGAGGGGTGTCTGTGGTGCCACTTCTTGATTTCCTCTAAGCCTTCCGGAAGCAGTCGAAGGTAATCCCCGTGCTGCTGGATTTCGGCCGTGCCTCATTCTTTCTTCTCGCTCTCTCCGTTCACGATCGTCGTCGGCAGCTCTGCTGGCTCCCTGAAACGACCCGAGGAAGAATATGTTTAATTAAGAAATATTTTGGTGAAATGTCAATCATTTTCCTTTAACTGAAATAGATTGGCATGGTGGTAACATCACTGTACGCGTACTCCAGAGGATCAGTCTAATCCTTGGGGAACACAGGTTCAAATCACACCACAGTAACTAGTGGAATTTAAAGAAAATCTGAAAGTAAAAGTTCGTCTCTGTGATTGTGACCATGAAACTAACAGTGACTGTCATTACAAGCCATCTGGTTCACTAATATTCTTTAAGGAAGGAAATCTGCTATCCTCACCTGGTCAGGCCTACATGTCTCCAGGCCCACAGCAATCTGGTTGACTCTAAACTGCTCTCTGAAATGGCCTTGCAAGCCAATCAGTTCAAGGATACTTAGGGATAGCAACAAATGGTCACCTTGCCAGCCATATCCACACCCCACAAAAGAATAAAAATAGCTGTAATCATGAACAACTAAACAATCTGAGGAATGATTTGTTTAGCATTGTTCCTGTGTTTCTGAACTAGACACAGAAGATACAGAGGACTTACAGACACTTGACGGGGATGATTTCTCAGCTTCCCTCATCAACAGTTCGGGATGTTTAATGATATTATTCACATGTACATCAGGGTTAAATCAGAAAGGGCCAGATTTCAGACACTAATTCAGCAATGACAAACAATGAGTAAGACAAAAAATCTCCAACTGACCGTTAAACTGTACATTTTAAGATTAAAAAGAAACTCTTCCATATTACATGTAATGGCATAATGGCTGGATCTTGATGGAGTTGGAAAAAGTTCCTCGGAACTTCAACACATTCATACCTTTTAAGATTTTAGTATAGTATTTACCAACTCCATAAGCACTTATCACCTACATTAACTTTTCCTGGAGGATCCTAGTGAATGCCTTTTCTAAGTATATCCCATTTAGTCATTCCCTTTTATCTATCTTAATAGTTAAACACTCAAACGCACTAATAAACTTGTGAAAGATTATTTTCCTTTTGTAAAACAATGCTGTCTTTGACAGACTATACTCTGATTTTATAAGTACATTGTTAAGACATCCTGATTAATGGATTCCAGAATTTTCCCAGATGACCAATGCCAGACTAATTGGCGTATAGTTCCCTATTTCCATTTCTTATTAAATTGTGGTGCTATTTGCTGGTCTCCAATCCACTAGAACCATGGTACCTGTAGAATCTAGAAAATTTCTGAAAAAACTACCAGCGCATCCAAATATCTCTGCAGCTACCTTTTAGAGAATCCTACGATAACCGTCATTAAGTTCTAGGGATCAGTCAGCTTTTCCATTACATTATCTCTTGTTGATACTAATTACCTAAAGTTCTTTGTGCTCATTACCAACTTAGTTATACTGCATTTTTACAATGTAATGTTTATTCAGTATCATTAATGTTTTGCCAAAGAAGCATTGCTCCTATCTCTGCCTCCAAGGGACCAACTTCTTTACACTTGTTTAAGCCATTCTTTTCTATACACTTGGAAAAAAGGCTTACAAACTGTTTATACATTTCTGGCTAGCTTGCTTTCATGTTTTTTCCTCTTTCTGAAGATCAACTTTTGATTACCCTGTACTAAAACACTTCCAAACTTCAGACTTAGAAAGGCAGACAGAAAAGGTTGATTAAAAGCCCTATGGCTCAGTTAAGAGGTGAGCATTAGCATACATGGTCGAATGGCTAACTTCTGTGTTATAATACCTATGATTCTATGGCTTACATTAACTAAAGCAGCATTTATTTTGCAATAGAGCACCTGCAGTGATGACTAAGATACCAGAACTTTCCATTCTTCTTTCACTAGTGCCAAAGGATCTTTTAAATTCTTTTGAACAGGTTTTGTTTTGGTGGTTCAGGTGAACACTATTTCTGGTAAAGGAAGAACTTCCTCAACACTTCATTGGAAGTTGAACATTTTTTAAAAAAGTGCAGTGGGGCTCAGTTCATAACCTTCTTGACTGGAAGGTCAGAATGCTACTTTAGTATCAGGTTTGACATGAAAATCTTAAACATATCAAAGTTTCAAGAATCAACCCTGACTGAGATTAAAAAAAGAATATCTGGTAAACAGGTTACCAACAAGCACTGATTTTTTAAAAATCCAACACCTAAGTTTATGAGATCTGCACACGACACTCTTCTATGACATCAGCGTTAATAAATAAATGTAAAATAAACGTACAAACTTGAGCATGTTCCAGTCAAACACATAGTCATAGGAAAAGCCTTGGCGGTGAAAGAGGTTGCGAAATAATTGCCTCAAGTAGGAGTAGTCTGGTTTGTCATCAAAACGTAGAGAGCGGCAGAAGTTCAAATACGTGGCAAACTCAGCTATGAGGAAGAAAAAGAACAGTAAATTACTTGTACTTTCAAACCAAATGTGCTACAAAGACAGATTCGACAGTTAACTTCCATTGTAGATAGAGGCTTAAAAGTTCATGATAATCAAATGGACAACTCTACATTACGTTACTTCAAATGAAGACAAAGTAAGTCAAATGTATATAGAACATGTAGTTGCTAAAACAACTACATCACCTCATTCCTAAGTTTAAATTAAAATTTTATGCAATATCTTTCCTGCTTAATTTTGATGGTTTATAAGGACATTGTTGTTAGGGTCACAGAGGTCGACAGCATGGAAAAAGGCCTTTCGTCAGTCAAAAACAAGCATCTAACTATTCAAATCCCATCTTCCACCACTTGATTGTCTTATGTGCCTTTGCACAAGTGTATATTTAAATATTATTTAAGTATTATGAGGGTTTCTGCCTCTACCACCTTTCTGGGCTGTGAATTCCAGATTCCCAACACTTTCTGGGCAAAATCTCTTTTCCTCATATCCCCTCTAAACATCCTGGCCCTTACCTTAAATCTATGCTCCTGATCACTGATCCCTCCTCCAAGCTTTTAGTCATTTAGCCTAATATGTCCTTTAGTGGCACAGTGCTGAGTTTTGTCTTGTAATGTTCCTGTAAAGGGCGTTGGGATATTTCATTACTTTTGACAAAATTATGCTGAGGGATTGAAACTAGTGATCACAGAATGATAGGTAAATAGGACATGATGCGAGTTAGGACATTGACAGCCGAAATCTTAAAAAGCTCTTAATAATCAAATGGACAACTCAATATCAAGTTACTTCAAATGGAGACACAGATTTCCAATCACAAAAACACTGCCCGACCATCACTCTCTGCTTCCAGCCACTCAAACAATTCTGGATCCAATTAGGCCAATTTCTTTCGACCCCACGGGTTCTTACCTTGATGAGCAGTCTCCTATTCATAACATATTATTAGAAAGGAAAATTCATAATATATTATAGGAAAGCCTGGATTCTAAAGTAGAAGTAAATGAGTTTTTGGCTTTCAGTGTTGAAGGTCTGTTCTGTTATTTTTAACAAAAGTAATTTGTAACTGAGAGAAGGAGGCTTTCCATGAAATCACATAGCTTAAGGTTAATTCAATGAGATAATTAATGCTTATTGTGACTTGACTTTTTTTAAATGACTGGAAAAGGGGAGGCGTGGGCCACAAGAAGGGAGAGCTCAGAAAGCAAGAACCTTACCAGCAGAGGTACAGCTTAGTTATGTCATTGGACTAGTAATTCAGAACCCCACGTTAACCTTTTGGGACGTGTTTGAATTCCATCAAGGTAGATGGTGAAATTTGAATTCAATAAGAATATGGAATAAAATGCTTATGTACCCATTACCAACTATCATAAAGTCACAGCTGGTTCACTCATGTCCTTTAGGGAAGGAAATCGGCCATCCTTACCTGGTCTGGCCAAATGTGACTCCAGATCCAAAACAATGCCTTAAGTGCCCTCTGGACAATGCTGACCCAGCCAGAAGCATCAAATCACATGATAAACGAATTATTAAAAAAAAATGCAGTGCAAATAGGCAGAACTGGGAAAACCTCTTGGCTTTTCTTAAGGTTTAATACAAATAGTCAATGAGTTTGCTTATCTGCATGTCTTGGGAAAGCCAGAGAGAATCACATCTGGTGAGTATGCAGAAAGTCACCAAAAGGAACGTTTGTGACCCTGTTGGTTGAGTAAGAAATTTTAAAGTGAAGATCAGACCAACATTTTACTGGGGATAGGTGTCTGAAAAGATATTGCTGTGAAAAAAAAGGCTGAATTTTAATTTTGCTACTGATAAGCTTTCCAAATTGAATTACATATAAATTGCTTAGTCATACAGTCACACAGCATGGGAACAATTTGCCCATGCCCAACCAGGTTTCTTAAATTGAAATAATCCCATTTGCCCGCGTTTGGCCCATATTTCTTCAAACTTTTCAGATCTATGTACCTGTCCAAATGTCTTTCAAATGTTGTAACTGTACCTGCCTTTACCATTTCCTCTGGCAGCTTGTTTCATATACACACCACTCTGTGGAAAAAGTTGCCCCTCAGGTCCCTTTTCCCCTCTCACCTTAAACCTATGCCCTCTAGTTCTGGACTCCTCTACCCCAGGAAAAAGACCTTGGCTATTTACCTTATCAATGTCCCTCATGATTTTATAAACCTCGATATGGTCACCCCTCAGCTTCCTACGCTCCATGAAAAAAGTCCCAGCCTATCCATCCTCTCCTTATAACTCAAACCTCCTTGATGACATCCTTGTAAATCCTTTTTGCACCTTTTCCAGTTTAATAATATCCTTCCTATATATGGCAGGGTGACCAGGATTGTAAGTATACTCCAAAGGTGACCATACCAATGTCTTGATTTATTACTATCAACATGTACTGAGGTACAGTGAAAAAAAGTGTTCAATGCTTTACAGGCAGATTGTACAAGTGCATCAAGGTAACAGACCAGAGTGCAGCATACAACGTTACAGCTGCCAAGAAGGTGCAAAGAGATCAATAACATTAAAGAGGTCCATTCAGAAGTCTGGTAGCAGTGGAGAAAAGAACTGCTCTTGAATCTGTTTGTACATGTATACAAACATTTGTATCTTCTGCCCAATGGAAGAGGGTGGAAGATAGAATAAAGAGTGGGAGGGGTCTGATTATGTTGATTGCTTTCCTGATGCAGCTGGAAGTATAGATTAAGTCAATGGATAGAAGGCTGGTTTGCTTGATGGACTGGGCTGTATTCACAACTCTCTGTAGTCTCTTTCATCTTGGGAAGAGCAGTTGCCATAACACACAGTGATGCATCCAGATAGAAATTTTTAGGATGCTTTCATGGTGCATCTATAAAAGAGTCTTTATGGACATATCGAATTTCCTTAGCCTCTTAAGGAAGCACAGGTGTTGCTGTGCTTTCTTGATCATGTCAAAATGGGTAGATCCAGACAGATTGTTGGTGATCGTAACTCCCAGAAACTTCATGCTCTCGACCATCTCCACCTTAGCATCACTGATGCAGACAGGGCCGTATCCTCCATTCTGCTTCCTGATGACCCTGTAAAGGTTGAATCTGGACTTCCTGTACAGGTCAGGGTTGCCCGACTTGAATGCCTCAGGCCTGGACTTCTCCCAGTTCATCCATGATTTCCGGTTGGGAAATGTTCAGATTAACTTCTTCGGCACGCAGTCATTTACACACTTACTAATGTCTTGTATAGCTGCAACATGACCTCCCAACTCCCAATGCTCTGAAGGTAAGTGTGCCAAAAGCCTTCTTCACTATCCTAACTACCTGTGACACCACTTTCAAGGAACTATGTACCTACAGCCCTAGGTCTTTCTGTTCGAAAACACTCCTCAGGGCCCTACAATTAACAGTCTAAGACCTGCCTTAGTTTGTCTTACCAAAATGCAACATCAAGATGCATTAAATTCCATCTACTATTCCTTGGCCCACTGGCCCAGTTGATCAAGATCCCATTGTACTCTCAGATAACATTTTTCACTGTCCACGACAGCACCAATATTGGTGTCATTCGCAAACCTACTAACCATGTTTCCTCTATTATCATTCAAACGGTTTACATAAATGACAAACAACTGTGGAGCCAGCACTGATCCTTGTGGCAAACACTAATAACAGGCCTTCAGTCTGAAAAACAAGCCTCTACCACCTCCCTGTCACCTGTCAGCCAATTTTTATTTCGAATGGCGAGCTTTTCCCAGATCCCATGTGATCTAACCTTACTAACCAGCTTACCATGCAGAACTTGTCGATGGCCTTGCTAAATTCGATGTAGACAACGTCTACTACTCTGCCATCATCTATCTTCTTGGTCACCCCTTCAAAAAACTCAATCAAGTTTCTAAAACATAATGTCCCCATGCACGAAGCCATGCTGACTATCTCTATTCAGTCCTTGCCTTTCCAAATGCATGTAGATCTTGTCTCTCAGAATCATCTCCAACAACTTAATCACCACAGACGTTAGGTCTGTAGTTTCCTGGCTTTTCCTTGTAGCCTTTTTTAAATAATTGCACAACATTAGCCCCCTCCAGTCTTCTGGCATCTCACCTGTGGCTGTCGATGATACAACTATCTCTGCTAAGGCCCCCACAATTTCTTCCACAACTTCCCAGAATGTTCTGGGATACATGATCAAGTTCCAGGGATTCATCTACTTTTATGTGTTTTAAAACCTCCAGCACCTCCTCTTCTGTAATGAGGACTCGAAGACATCACTATTTACTTCCCTAATGTCCATGTCTTTCTCCATGTTAAATACTTCGGGTCTCACCCAGCTCCTGTGGTTCTACACATAGATGGCCTCGTTGATCTTTAAAGGGCCCTACTTTCTCACTCGTTACACTTTTGCCCTGAATGTACTTGTAGAATTTCTTTAGATTTTCCTTTGCCCTATCTACCAAAGCCATCTCACATCCGCTTTTTGCATTCCTGATTTCCCTCTGAAGTGTATTCCTTCACCCCCTATACTCAAGGGATACACTTGATCCCAGCTGTCTATACCTGACATATGTCTCTTTCTTTTTCTTGACCAGAGCCTCAATATCTCTAGTCATCCAGAACTCCCAAATGCCCGTTAGCCTTGCCCTTCACACCAACAGTAACATACTGACCGTGGACTCCTGCTATCTCACTTTTGAAAGCCTCTCACTTGCCAGATGTTCCATTACCTGTGAGCAGCGTGCCCTAATCAACTTTTGGAAGTTCCTGCCTTGCCCCAATTTAGAACTTTAACTTGTGGATCAGACCTACCCTTAGAGTCATACAGTCAGAGATATATAGCACAGAAACAGACGCTTCGGTCCAACTCGTCCATGCTGACCAGATATCCTATACAAATCTAGGCCCATTTGCCAGCATTTCGCCCATTTTCCTCTATTCATATACACATCCACATGCCTTTTAAATATTGTAATCGTACCAGCTTCTACCACTTTCTCTGGCAGCTCATTCCCTACTTGCAACACTCTCAGCATGAAAAAGATGCCCCTTGCTCCTTTTTTTTTTTTTTTTAAAATCTTTCCCCTCTCACCTTAAACCTATTAGTTCTGGACTTCCCACCACAGGGAAAAGACCTTGCCTATTTAGCCTATCCATGCCCCTCATGATTTTACAAACCTCTATAAGGTCACCTCTCAGCCTCTGATGCTCCAAGGAAAACAGCCCCAGCTGATTCAGACTCTCCCTATAGCCCAAACCCTCCAACCCTGGCAACATCCTCGTACATCTTTTCTGAATCCTTTCTAGTTTCACAACACCTTCCTACTGGAGGGAGACCAGAACTGCACACAATACTCCAAAAGTGGCCGAACCAATGCCCTGGACAGCTGGAATATGACCTCCCAACTCCTATCCTCAATGCACTGACCAATAAAGAGCAAGCATACCAAACGCCTTCTTCACTATCCTATCTACCTGCGACTCCACTTTCAAGGAACTATGAACCTCAACTCCAAGATCTCTTTGTTCAGCAACACTCCCCAGGACCTTACCATTAAGTGTACAAGTCCTGCCCTTAGTTTGCCTTTCCAAAATGCAGCACCTCACATTATCTAAAATAAAACTCCATCTGTCACTTCTCGGTCCATTAACCCACCTGATCAAGATCCCATTGTACTCTGAATGGCTAGTTCTCCCTGTATTCCAAGTGATCTAACTCTGCTAACCAGTCCACAATGAGGAACCTTGTCAAATGCCTTACTAAAGTCCATATAGATTACATCCAGCCCTCTGTCCTCATCAATCCTCTTCATTACTTCTTCAAAAACCCCAAGTCAGTGAGACACAATTTCCCAAACAAAGCCACGTTGACTGTCCCTATCAGTCCTTGACTTTCCAAATACATGCAAATCCTGTCCCTCAGGATTCCCTCTGACAACCTGCCCACTACAAATGTCAGGCTCACCAGTCTATAGTTCCCTGCCTTTTCCTTACCACCTTTCTTATATTGTGGCACAACGTCAGCCAACCTCCAGTGTTCCGGCACCTTATCTGTGGCTGTCGATGATACAAATATCTCAGCAAGGGGCCCAGCAATGTCTTCCCTCGCCTCCAACAGAGTTTTAGGGTACAGCTGATCAGGTCCTGGGGATTTATCCACCTTTATGCATTTTAAGGCGTTCAGCACCTCTTCCTCTGTAATATGGACATTTTTCAAGATGTTGCTATTTATTTCCTCACATTCTCTATCTTCTGTATCCTTCTCCACAGTTAATACTGATGTGACTTTTTCCATAACTCTTTGAAAACAAATAGAATTATGGTCACTGGTCCCAAAGTGCTTGCCCACTAACACCACAGAAAATAAGGCAAGGCAAGTGACAAAGACGAGGTCAAGTTCTGCCCCTTCTCTAGTAGGGCAATGTTCAAATTGATTAAGAAAATTTCCTGAAAACACTTAACATGTTCTTCCCCATTAAGTCCTTAACATGGCAGTCCCAGTCCATGTTTGCCAAGTAAAAATCCCCTACTATTACAACCCCATTATTCTTATCATTATTTGCAATCTCCCAATATATTTGCTCCTCAATTTCCTGCTGACTATTAGTGGTTCCACATATATAGTCCAATTTGCGATCCCTCAGTAATATCCTCTCTAAGTACTGCCATGATGCTTTCCCTAATCAAACATGCCACTCTCCCTCCTCTCTTGCCTCCCTTTGTATCCTTCCTATAGCACGTGCACCCAGGAACATCATCCTTCCAGTCAGAGTGCTCTTAGATCTATCTCCACCTCAGCCATGTTTCTGTATTAGCTATAATAACAGAGTCTGATGTTCCCATTCATGCCCGAGTTCATCTACCTTACCTATCAGGCCTCTTGCAGCAAAATAAATGCAGTTTAATTCATCAGTCTTCTCTTGTTCTATGTCATGCTCTTGTTTGCTGTCTATTTAACTTGCGCTCTTTAAATTTTGCATGCTCTTCTCTGTCTCACTACTGTTTAGGATCCCACTCCCCTGCCAGACTAGTTTAAACCCTCCCTAAGAAGCTATTGCAAATCTCCCAAGGTATTGGCCCCCCCTCTAGCTCAAATGCAATCTGTCCCTCTTGTACAGGTCACCTCTGCTCCTGAAGACATCCCAATGATCCAAATATCCGAATGCCTGCCCACTGCACTAGCTCCTCAGCCATGCATTATTCTCCAACTCTTATTCTCAATTGCACGTGGCACTGTGAATAATCCAGAGATTACTACCCTTGAAGTCCTGCTTTTTAACCTCCTGCTAACACTCTATATTCACTCAGCAAGACCTCATCCTTTTTTCTACCTATGTCATTGGTATCAATGTATATAACAACCTCTGGCTCCTCACACTCCAATTCAAGAATTCACTGCAACTGCTCAAAGACAGCCTTGACCCTAGCAAAAAGGAGGCAACACACCATCTGGTGTCTGAATTGCAGAAATGCCTGTGTGGCCCTGACTAGAGTACCCTATCACAATTGATAGCTTTTTTTCTCTTTTCGTGTAACAAACTTGTTTCTTTGTTAAAAGTATGTTGAAAGCCTCGTGTGAATATGGTCAGTAATTGATTATTACAGTAGTAAACAAATTGCCAAAATAAACTTATGACCTATTAAGCCAGATTTAACTCTGGAATCTGACTGGTCCAATGTTACAACAGCTGAAATCACAACGTAACCATGCTGCTTCCTCCCCTTCTGCCTCCAGCAGGCTTGGGTGGTGGGGAGGAATGGGTCATCATCATGAATTGGTTTAACTGAAGATTGCTGCTCAGCTCAGCAGTTTGCTGTTACAGTCCGCATATTGCATCAATGCTCTACTTCAGTTTTTTAAAATTCTGAAAGCATTTGGAGATGTAATATACTCAGAGACTCTACAGGAGTCTGAGTACTGATCAGTTCTGAACAGGAGTCATATCAGACTCGAAACGATGACTGTTTTTCTCTCTCCAAAGGTGATGTTAGATTTGCTGAGCTTCTCTAGCACTTGCTGCTTTGACTTTAGATTTCCCGCATGTTAAGTAATTTGTAGTTGAGTACTAATAAGAATTAATTTCACAAAGAAAATAGGATATGCATATTTAGAGTTTCTTTCACAATTATTACATTTTTGGAGCCAACCAGTCCTATCAATTTGCATGTTTCAATCATGAAATGATATTTGCGAAGGTGATGGCCTAGTGGTATTATCGATGGACTGTTAATCCAGAGACCCAGGTAATGTTCTAGGAACCCACGTTCGAATCCTACCATGGCAGATGGTAGAATTTGAATTTTAAAAAGTCTAAATGTTGACCACGATTCCATCGTTGACGGCCAGGAAAAACTCATCTGGTTCACTAATGTCATTTAGGGAAGGAAACTGCCATCCCTGCCTGGTCTGGCCTACATGTGACAGCAATGTGGCTGACTCTTAACTGCCCCCTGGGCAATTAGGGATGGGCAATAAGTGCTGGCCTAACTAGCGACGCCCTCATCCTATGCATTACTTAATAAAGCACAAATTAGAAATAGATTGGTTATAAAATAATACATCATGACATGCAGTCACTTGATCAGTTGACCCTAATGATCAAAAGCAATGTCCGTATATATACCATTGTCTGACATAATTTTTATACATACATGAGTAACCTTTGCAGAGCACTTCAATTGGCGTCGACATTTTCTTTTCGCTAATGCGTTCATACTTCTGTCTTTTTGTTGCTGCCTTCAGACCTTGCCAAGGCAACGATCCTAAGTTAAAGTACATCAGAACATAGCCCAAGGATTCCAAATCATCACGGCGACTTTGTTCTGGAAAAGTGAAAAGGGCATTAGTCTTGAACATGACAATCAGGAATCAAACGGAAGATACCACTTCTTTATTCAGTGCTGGCAATTTATTGCAAAATCCATTCACCAAATAAATTGTAAAAACTTCATAGTTATCAGTAAATATGAATTATCCATACTGCTTTACTACAATACACACACTTTCAATTGCATATTTTCTTCTAAACCCCAAATTTGAAAATTAAGTTAACATATGACTTTTCAGATGCCAAGATAGTCATGCATTTACATAGTGCCTCATCAGGTCTCTCGGAACCTCTCAATAGTTCACATAAAAGAACTGCTCTGAAATGTAGTGAGTGATGTCTGCATTGAAGTCACAGCCAAATCCTAACTATAGGGAGATAAATCACAATTCAATTGAGTTCTGGCTCTGTTGGCTGAAGAAAAATTACATACTTGCGAAATAGAGGTCCTTTTACTAACCCAACAAGATGGTTGTGATATGTAAAAGATAGTAATCAGCATACACCCAAGTTCCTATCATACAAAATAACTGAAAAGAATGCATCTGCCTACCTATTCCCAAATGGGTATTGATCGAAGCATATCGAGCTGTTCCTGTAAGGTTCTTATTTTCACGGTATGGTATATGTTGGTGTGTTCGTGCATCCCGGTATTTTTTTGCTAGCCCAAAGTCAATAATATAGACCAGGTTGCCTTTCTTTCCCAACCCCATTAAGAAATTATCAGGTTTCACATCACGATGGATAAAATTCTTCGAATGAATGTATTCAATTCTGCTGATCTAAATAAAAGGAAAAACAGCTTTTATATACGAAAAGCCAGAAAGCTCAAATGGAGTGTTTTATTGTGTAAAACTAAACCAGCAATCTTTGCACAAAACCTTGCAAAATTGGTGTGGCCCAACTTTCAAGTTCCTTCAATCCTGCCTTGACTTTCCATAACATACTCTTGGATGATACAGGTTTAGTAACATCTATAAGCACCTGATGCCCAATCCTCTAAAGGCAACTTGAGGACAAAACAAGATTTAACTTCCATGTCTTTGGTTTCTAAAATGTTCTGGTTGAAATAGGAAGATCTTAATAAAAAAATGATTTAGGTTTAGGTACAGGGTATTGAGCGCCTTATGCCCGGTCTGCCATTCAATAAGCTCATTAGCAATCTGTTTCTGGTCTCAACACCACCTTCCTACCTGCCCCCATCATGCCTTGACTCCCTTGTCTATCAAAGTAGATCTCTAGTCTTTAATAAATTCAATAACCCAGCCTTCACTGCTTCCTATTGAGAGGAATTCTACAAACTAATGAGCCTCAGAGAAAAGATTTATTTTTATTTCTTTTAAAGGGAGACCTATTATTAAACTGTGCTCCCTTGTTCTAGTCTCCCATACATGAGAAAACTTTACCCTGCATCCACCATATCATGTCCCCAGGATCTTGTACATTTCAAAAAACCCCTTCTCATTCTTCTAAACTTCAATGGTCATAGGTCAAATTGGTTTGGCCTTTCTTAAGCTAATTATTCATGTCATTAATAAAGTGATGAATCTTTTCTAATTACATTTTTTAAGACAAAAATTGAGTTACTCATGTACTAAGAATGGGATAAAATTCACAATCCAAAGTGGTTATTTCTGAAGAGTCACACTGGACTCAAAACATTAACTCTGTTTCTCTCTCCACAGATGATGTCAGAGCTGCTAAATTTCTCCAGCATTCTGTATTTGCTGGCTACAGTTATTTGGATTGGAATTGTTTTAATCCAATAATTATTGGATAGAATGTACAAGCATTTAAGAAAACTATATTTATCAACAGTTTACCAATCTTACCGCATTCAATTTGGTCTCTTTTTACAAGGGTCATTTTTGTATTTTTAAGAGTTTTGTACTGCAGTGGTAGTATTTCAGGCTCAAGTCCCACCTGCCCTAGAGATTTGCCTTAACAAGTTGATTAAAATAACTTGAGGGTGGGTTTGGACTTCCCAGATATGCTAACACTTTTGCATATACTTGCACACAAAAACTTGCATTGAAGCAAAACACTCTTCTGTAACTAGGCCTGCACAGCAGTCAAGAGCCAAATGTGGTTCATGGGAGGGGTCCTCCCATCCTTGCTCCTCCTCTGGTTGAGAAGCACCTAGTTTCCACTTAGCACCTTTCAACAACTGGAACAAGGAACATCGATTAGTAACTGATATCTACATCCATCTTTTATCACTTTTTGAAACCCTAAAGCTTCATATTAATCGACTCCCCCTTTTCACACATCTGTTCAATTCAATATATATATATATATAAACAGTTGCTAGAAAGAAAGGAGTTTACTATATCGGTATATTGTATTTGGTGAAAATTGGAAAGGGAAAAAATATCCAGGTTTTATCCTTTAGCTGGTCATTCTGCAACCATAATCTCTAAAAAAAAAAGCAATACACAAAACTATTTCTTACCATCTGATCAGCGAGAAGGAGGACTGTCTTAAGGCTGAATTTACGAGAGCAGAAATTAAAGAGATCCTCGAGACTTGGTCCAAGCAGCTCCATCACCATCACGTTGTAATCTCCCTCCGCACCACACCACTTGATAGTGGGAATGCCAACTACATAAGAAACAAACTTAAGGTAGGAGGGTACAAAGAAAGCAGAAAAACTACTATGAACTTGCATTTCTCCTAATTATGCAGTTTAGGACCAGAGATCTTAAAGCTGAGTTCCAATGTCACATCTTACTGTTTTGAACGCATATAAATCTGATTTTCAAAGAGATTATTTTCAAACGACAGGTCACAACTTGTGGATGCCACTGAAATGTCCAAGGGCAAACTTAAAACATTTTTCTCCAAAGCCAAATATTGTGAACAGTTCAAAATTAGTGACCTTTATGATAGTTATTAGACAGCAACATTTTCCCATTCTCCCATTCTTAAATTTCCTGTTATATCATCTTACCTCTGACAACTGAATTATGAGAGTTTGGTTGAAAGTAAGTTTCAAGACAGCCCTTTCTCAAATGTTATAATTTAATGACCACATGCTTAGTGGTTAAAAAAGACGTAATTCATGACTCTTTGCAGCAATTTAATTTCAAATTTAATTAATTAGCACAATTGTGATGCAAGCCAATAGTCTATCCATTAAAGACTCTTGTGGTGCAGTGATAATATCCCTACCTCTGGGCCAGAAGGTTCAGTTTCAAGTCCTTCCTGCCTCAGAAGTGTCTCATAACATGTCTGGACATTTTGGCTTAAAAAAAAGTTCATCCATCAACTTCTCTTTGGAGAGAAAAAAAATGACCTTCAAAGCATTGTACAGTAAAATGTTGTCTTACAGTGCCGCCTCCTGCCCAACAGGATAATGGCAAGGGCAATGGCCACCCTTTCAGCATAAAATGTTGAATGGAAATTTTCATAATGTTGCTGCCCTCTTTTCACTTGATAATTAACAAGTTTAAACAAGTTATCATTCATCTAAAGATTCTTAAAACCACGACGAAGAAAGTTTAAAAATGTCAATTTAATTAAAATAACACTTGTTTAAATTTGGGCCACGGAAAGACAATAGATGTTCAAAATGGTGAACGTGCATGGTCTTTTAAAGGACCATACATACATTACGAGCAGGATCAAGTAACAGAGACCCAAATTCAACATGTAAACTCCCCAAATACTTCTCTGTATAAGATTCAAATGATGTCTGAAGAAAATGGTGGCATTATCTCCACCTTCAAACTGTGTGTCTCAGTATAAAAATAGCCATAGCTTTATGTGTCTCCATAAAGTGTTTCATTATACTGCTCAGGTTGACCGTTTTGACTGTACTTGTGAAAAATATTCAAGGGAAAACTAAAGGAGAAAACTGTTGCCATAAAATAATCTTCACAAGCACAGTACTCTGACATATGCACAGCAGCCGTGGAAGAAATCTGAATTTTCTGTAAACTTTTGAACTTCATTGGAGAAAATAATATTTAAAAAAAACTTTATTAGAAGACTAATCCAATTTTACAAATGGCTTTCGACGGACACCTCCCCTTGTAAAGGCCATCTCCATGACAATGTAAATCACACTGATCTTGTGCCCAGGTAAAGATGCTAACTATCCTTTAAGCTCCCAACTCCATTCTATCTTAAAAGTAAATAAGCAATTAAAGTATAACCATTTACAAGACCTGACATTCTTGACACCTTCCTGGAACTTTGGAGGCTAACAGTCTCAGCACAGATACTTCCGCCACTGTGTACAACTGTGATTACCTGCATCTTCTTCCCAGTAAAATAACATCTTGAACAATCAAATCACTCAAGTTCACTGTTGGCATAATTCAGAACAGGTCTCATGAACCATCTGCATTCCTCCACTTCACTTGAAATGAAAGATAGGCCCAAGACATAATCCACTGCACTTCATATTGCAATAAGTTCATTGGCTTTTGTGGATTCTGATAATGCCTCAGGCACAGCAACCAGACCCAAGTGGCTACACTTCATAAATCCAGATAGAATAATTATTCTGAGTAATCGAGCCTGATCTGTATTCACCCAACACTCACTGGACAATGATCACGAGTGGCTAAGAGTGGGATACCCCCTTTCACAGCCTTGAAGTGAACCTATTTGTAGCATTATTCCTGACATCTTGGCAGACATCAACCAACAGTGGAAACTGTGGAGCTAAACTTGGCACCTCCATCATTATGGTTCAGAACGAAGTGAGAATCATAAAGGTGTACAGCATGGAAACAGACCCTTCGATCCAACTTGTCCTTGTCGACCAGATATCCTAAATAAATCTAGTCCCATTTGCCAGCATTTGGCCCATATCCCTTTGATGTCCTTCCTATTCATATATCCATCCAGATGCCTTTTAAATATTGTAATTGTACCAGCCTCCACCACCTCGTTGGGCAGCTCATTTTATACACACATTACCCTCTGTGAGAAAAAGGTGCCCCTTAGGTCCCTTTTAAATCTTTCCCCTCTCATCTCAAATTTATACCCTCTAGTTTTGCACTCCTCTACCATGGGGAGAAGGCCCAATCCGTGCTCCTCATGATTTTATAAATCTCTATAGGGTCACCCCTCAGCCTCCAGCACTCCAGGGAAAACAGCCCCAGGCTATTCAGCCTCTCTCTCTCTAGCTCAAACTCTCCAAACCTGGCAATACCCTTGTAAATCTTTTCTGAACCCTTTCAATTTCACAACTTCCTTCCTATAGCAGGGAGACCAGAATTGCATGCAGTATTCCAAAAGTGGCCTAACTAATGTCCTGGACAGCCACAACATGACATCCCAATTCCAATATTCAGTGCACTGACCAATAAAGTCAAGCATGCCAAATGGCTTCGTCACTATCCTATCTAACTGCGACTCCATTTTCAAGGAATTATGAGCCTGCACTCCAAGGTCTCTTTGTTCAGCAACACTCCCCAGGACCTTACCATTAAGTGTATAAGTCCTGCCCTAACTTGTCTTCCCAAAATGCAGCACCTCATATTTATCTAAATTAAACTCCAATAGCCACTCCTTGGCCCATCTGATCAAGATCTTGTTGTACTCTGAGGTAACCTTCTTCGTTGTCCACGACACCTCTAATTTTGGTGTCATCTGCAAACTTACTAACCATACCTCCTACGTTCACATCCAAATCATTTTAAAAATGACGAAAAGCAGTAGACCCAGCACGGATCCTTGTGGCATACCGCTGCTCAGAGGCCTCTCTTTCCAACTGTGCCACTCTTTCCCAAATCACATGCAGTGCATATTCCACCATCCATACCGAAAGAAGCAATGGGGAAAAAAAAGACAAAACAATTTCAAAAAAATGTTCCAAACATTACTAGCTCAGGATTTCCCAGAAGGGAAGGAAGTTTCATTTGTGGCATTTTGCTGCATTCACAGAAGGAGGAAGACCATACCTGTGATTGCTAATCTAAGATTCTTCTACATTTATTCCATTACACATTGCAGATTTTAGTCCCAGAATCTGTTGCTCCCGATCAGTGAATCAAAGTGTCAAGTGCAGCCTGCGCCAATGTAATAAAGCATTGGTTCCTGTTTGTAGATGAGAATAATACCACTTTATTCTGAAATAGCTATATTACGGGAAAAACTCTGACTGGTTAGTCCCTAAAGTCACCAAAATATTGGATGCAATCTACTAACTTTCCTTTTCCAGGTAATGCATTCTGTTGAATAAATTCAAAATTTCTACTACTGAAATTAGAAAATGCTCTATCTCATTAACAATAATGTAACATCCATTATTCTAAAACAAATGGAATAGGTATGATTGAGGTAGGCTGGATGAGGGGAAAGGAAAGAAATTTACTCCATTAACAAGTATTGTATGTATGACTGAGGCAAGGAAAATGCAACAAACCAAACAATGTCACCATGAACTTGCTTCCTAAAAAGCAATACTCTAAGACTTGATACCATTATGCAGCAGTATGTAGAGCACTGTGAAGCTCTAATGCTACCAATAGAGTGCATAATTCAGTGAATGAGGCAAAATAAGATGAAGTAAAACCTTACCACCTCCTTGCATCATCTTGTATATCTTGCTCTCAATATGTAGCTGTGGGTGTTTGGTTTTCACACATTCCAGCTTAATGGCCACCTCCTCTCCTGCAGCAATGTCAGTTCCTATAAGGAAACAGGCGAATGCTTATTTCACCGAAAGGATGAAACAGATTTGAACAAGGCACTGCATCACCATTTACATCAAGGTAACTAATGTCTTTACACAGAACTGCAAAAGAAAAGCGTTTCTTCAGAATTCTACAGGCAGGCAACTAAACAGCAATGCGCATATTGACAGAATAACTGGTAAAGCATGTGGGACCTTAGATTTCATTAATACAGAGTACCAAAAGAGCGATATTATGTTGAAACTTAATAAATTTTGATTCGGATACGTGGCTCCAGGAAAGGAGAATTTTAGCTATAGAGTCAGAGTAGGAGAAGGTCGGCTCATTTTCTTTGAAGCAAAGGAGACTGAAGGTTAATTTGATAGGAAGTGTACAAGTTCATGACAGGTTTAGGTAAGGTAGATAATGTTAGTGGGCTGTTCGGAGAGAGGTGATAGAAGGAAACTCACTCCTCTAAAGAGTATTGGATGTGCAACTGAGGCAAGGAAAATGCCACTGGCCTTAAATACAGATTTAAGGTCTATGGCAAGAGTTGGAAGAATGAGAGGAAGCACGGAGTGATTATCATCTAGAACGCAAGTGTGGTGGAAGCACAGTCCTATGATGTCCTTGGAACAATTCCGGCAAATACCTTCTGCACCCTCTCAAGACTCTCTCACATATTTTCCAAAGTGTTGCACCCGATTTTGGTCACAATACTCTAGTTGAGGCCTTACCACAGTTTATGAAGGTCCAGTATAACTTCAAAAGGAAACCAGATGGATAACTGGGGGAATTAATCTAGCAAAGCTATAGGGATAAAGCAGGGAGAAGGACACACTGGATTGCTCTACAGAGAATTGGCAGAATGGACTCCTTTCATGTTACACTATGACTCTATTTAGAAGTTAAGGAGTAGTAAATTTATCACAAATGAACTATTGAAATCAGCACTGAACTTGCAAAATTGCACTTTCAGTTTAATAGTAATCAGAGACAGTTGTAATCACTAATCACTACGGGCGACACAGTGGTTAGCACTGCTGCCTCACAGCGCCAGGGACCTGGGTTCGATTCCAGCCTCGGGCGACTGTGTGTGGAGTTTGCGCATTCTCCCCGTGTCTGCGTGGGTTTCCTCCGGGTGCTCCGGTTTCCTCCCACAGTCCAAAGATGTGCAGGTTAGGCGGATTGGCCATGCTAAATTGCCCGTAGTGTTCAGGGAGGTAGAGGGTGTATATTAGGTGGGTCATAGGGGGATGGATCTGGGTGGGATGCTCTGAGGTTCGGTGTGGACTTGTTGGGCCGAAGGGCCTGTTTCCACACTGTAGGGATTCTAATTCTAATTTGGTGGCTCCCAGGACTGCCTCCAAGAGCAAATAATTACAAAATTCTGATGTGACTTAAACATCAAAGGTGGCAAAGTGTTACCAAGTTGAGACTGGGCTTCCATCTGTACACAAAGTGAGGATCTTGAACCTGATGCTTATTTATTTACAGTGTTTATTCAGTCACTTTACACAACAGTTTTCCTTGTTCTTATACACTTGCAAGTGTTTTTTTTAAGGACACAAATGTTATTCTTCAAAAAGATCATGAAATAAATGTGCCTGTTACAGGAGGAATAGTAACCATGTCAAGCACTGGCAATTTGTTTCGAATCAATTGTAAGCCAGCCATACAATGTACTGCATGAAACACGCAGAATTACTAACAGAAATTATTATCCCTCTGAAAAGGCACTGCTTTATATCTGCAAGCTGCATTCCACTTGTTTATTGGTTGTTGAATAGATTCAGGCAAAATCACAATTCCTAGAAGTTTAGGATAAATAGCTTCTTTTAAACTGTATGCAACCGATGAGAAGGAAACAACCACATTTTGCAGAATAGAATCAGTACAGTACCTTAAGTTACTTTACCATGTTCACATTCTAATGCATTGTACTATGAAGGCAAAAAAGGACACATTTGATACAATAGATTCAATTCCAAATGGACGATGAATTTTCCCCAAAACATGCCAGACAATTCATGTGTTTCAAGTTACAATCTAAAAATGACCAGCAAATTCTGGTTGCATATTGAAAATGCTAGTGTCTATAGATGGTTATAATGTGGACCCTGATCATCCTTCTGTAGTGAAATGTGCAATGTTAAGAGTTGTGCTATTGGAACTAAAAGGCACTTTGTCAAATACTGAAACTGCACCATTATATACTGAAATCCCACCTACAGAAGGGCAAGTGTGTGAACGGAGCAAATGGGGAAGCAAGAGTTGATGTTCAGAGCAACTACACAGGATTCATCAAACTGCTTGCACCAAGTAAAACAGAAATCAATCAGGATCAAGAATAAAACCATCAAGTAGCTAATGGTACCATAAAATAAGGTAGTTGTTACTTAAGGCCCATCTCCAAAGCTCAGGACACTGCTGTGGGGGATTTCTCAAAGTATCCTCAATCCAACCATTAATCGTTTCAATTGCTACAACTGTACAATTCTAGTAAAGTACTCCATTTCACAACTATCAAACAGTAATGCAGGTCCATTATTACTATCACGTGTGAATGTTATCAAGTGTAAACAACTCTGTTTTGATCTTCAAAGACAGCACCACATCCCTATCACGTGTCTTCTGGGGGCCACTATTGACCAGAAGCTTGACTGGACTAGCCACATCAACAATGAATGTACCAAAACTGGGCAGAAATCAGGTGTTCTGAAGCAAAGGGCTCACCTTCTGAACTCTCAAAGTTTGTACGTATCAATAAGACAGCAGTCAGGTGATTCGATACTCACCAATTGTCTGGATTGGGTTATTTAAACAGCATTCTCAACATCCTCCAGCTAAAAAGTACACTTTACTGTTGGCAATGCCAAAAAAAAGTGAATGTTCATCTGCTCTACCACCAGACTTTAGCTACAACATGTATGATATACAAGATGAACTTAAATATAATCAAACTTGTTTTGACAGAATCCCCCATTCTCTATTACAAAGAAGATAAACAATACCATTTCCCAGTCACACAGCATGCTGACTTAGACATACTTTGCTGTTCCTGAATCAACTTCCTATTTTTGGCACTAATTTCTCAGGGGCTGTTCACAATAGCTGGTACAGGAAATTTACATATTATATTGGAGCAATATGTATGTTCTTCCTAGGGTGAAAGAGTCTCACCTTCATCTAATCATATAAGTCTTGCCAAAGAGGTCTCTTAAGTAGGAAACATTGTTTCAATTCCACCAGTTGATGAGCATAGAAGCTCAATTAAGAAAAAGAGACACTCAACATCTGACAATAACTTCAACAATATCCCTGTATTTAAAATGCTTAGGGAACATAGATCTGTAAACAGCATGAGTGGTAAGGCTGCAAAGGAAATTGTGGGTTATTTTACGTGTAGAGAAGCTGACAGTGAAATGATAAACATTCATGGTAATGTGACCTTTAAAAAAGCATATTTAATGTCTTAAGTTGAATCTTTTTAATTCCAATATATATATTCACATTAGAAAATGAAGTAAACAAATTAATTTTAGCTCAACGGCAGGTTTGTAATGTCACACAGTGGTGCTTTCACTGCTATGATGGGTGAGAAATATATTTATGCTCTCTTTGCTTGACTGTAAAAAAGACTGCCCGAAGGAAAATTTCAGATGACTCCTCCAAACTATAGTATGCTCTCAAGACAGTTGGATCATACAACATGTGCAGGAAAGTACTGGCATTTATTAACATGCTGCTTGTAGTGATCTTGGAACAGTTCAAGGTGAGGAAGAGTAATTGTATAAAAAGCAATTATACAACAATATAATGTATTTGCCCAAGTATATTCTTGCCCGAAGCAATACATTAAATAAGCCTAGTGCAGACCCTGCACAATGTTCACCCCAATCGGTAACCCAATGATAACGCAACTATTGTACTTCATAATTGCCTAAAACTAACACAGACCAACATACAGATTTGAAAAACTAATTTCTGATTAGCTTAAGGTCCAAATGTTGGGAATTAGCTAAATGTACAGGTTCATATATTTATCAGTCTATAAATGTCAATTCAAGATTTAAAAGTAGACTGTTTAGAACACAGCACAAGCAGTTACCTTTATGATAACAGCAACATTAACAATAGTAACTTTCAGAGAAGTCTACTTTGTAGTATTTAGACCACAAATAGAAAAAAAATTGAAAATGGATAAAAGCAACATGGAAGAAACTAACAGCAACAGTAAATTTACAGTGATATTACAGTGCACCACAGTGTCACTCTCAAATCAAAACTTCTTTTGTTTATCAAGTCAACATACTTGGGAAAGAGACAAGATAAAGTGAATTCATCTTCAAAAACCGTGTTTGGGATTCAAACACAAGAACAAAGGAATTCTAAAAATGTGCTTTTTTGTTTTACTTGTTCCTTTTCTTGTTGCACTTTTTCAAGAATCTTAAATCATGCAGAATATTTATTCTTAATTCTTTAACCATCTAAATGAATGAAGGTGAAACTGTTACCATCAGCACTGCAACATGCAACAGTAAAACATTTACGAACAAAGTCATAATAAAAGCTTCAACAGAAATTCACACATTATTCAGATTGCCAATGAAAAAAATATCAGCAAGCTTTGCAGTATTGATTACAGGCCAGATGTTTCTTTGTTAGGTGGGAACAGGAAATCAATGGGCAAGTCACCAGATCTTCTCTTGCACAACTTCCCCACGTCCTAGAGTTGCACTATTGGATGCCAAATGATTTTTGACTTTGGTCAACCCTGAAGGGGGAAGTATAATAGGGAAATGAATCATATGAGGAAATGGCTGTTAGATAGCAACTTAACTTAGTGATAAAAGCAAGTTTGTCAAATTGTTGGTTAACCCCTGACAATATAATGTAAGTATTACTACCTGATGGCTACTGGTCTGGTTCAGTGTGAATTACTTCACGACACATGCCCGGAGTTTACCCATGCACCTATGCAACTTTTAGGCTAGTATTAATGAACTAATATTG